GCAATTTAGGCATCATTCCTAAAATAAGCTAGTGCTCACACCTCACAATCATCGCTTAGCATTCTAAGTTTAATTCTAGAAATAAATCCATATTCCTAGTTCTCTTAAACTAATGCTCTGATACCAACTGTGACATCCCCAAAATCACGGCCAGAAAAGACCGATTTTGTTTATGCTTTATAAAAATCAGAGTACTTCATTTTATAAAAAGGTTGCGGAATTTGTTCCCAGAAAAACACGATAAATACGTTATTAAAACATTTTCGAAGAAACGTATTTTTATTCATCTTAAAACGTTTGGGATGTCATCGTTAATACAGAAACATAAGCATAAACAGAACTTACAATTATTTACACTAGTGATCTACATCTCTTTAAATCTCTCAATGTAATGTCACTTCATATCGCCACCTGTGATGTAAATAAACTGAGTGGGTCAGGTTGGGAAACCTGGTGAGTACATAGGGTTTTCAACCCACAATAATATAATTGTTATGTTCAATCATCAAACAATTAACCCAATTACCCATCCCCGTTATCTTCTTTACTCCTAAGAGTCATCTATTCTGCATTCGTTATTCCAAATTCCCTTACTTCCAGGGTTATCGGACTGGCACTAAATCCATAGCTGCCGATATTCGTTCGTAAAGCACTAATTCCATAGCTGCTATAGTCTATTTATTGGGTACTAAATACATAGCTACCAGTGCTCAACAAATACTAAGTCCATAGCTACCAATTCCTACAGGTACTAAATCCATAGCTACCAATGTCTAACTAATAGGTACTAAGTCCATAGCTACCAATTCCCAACAGGTACTAAATCCATAGCTACCAACGTCTAACAGGTACTAAGTCCATAGCTACCGGTGTTTGTCCCATAGGCACTAAGTCTATAGCTGCCAATGTATACTCACGTCATCTTCTATCTCTCATCATTCATCTACCCATCATCATACCCAACATATTCGTGTATATAAAATACGTATACAGTTTAAATCCTTTAAAACATGTATAAAACGTTCATCCAGCATAGACAGCAAGTATTCAGATAATATGCACACATAGCACGTAGTTTATATAAAATACTTCATATCTATGTGTAAGATGAAAGGGACTATGCACTCACTTGATTAGGTGGTGATTCCGAACTCAGACAGCACTTCGTTATCTCAAAACAATTTTCCTCGACAAAACCTAGTATCAATACCACTAGGGTTTAGTTTTTAACGTTAACCACGACTAATTAATAGTCTAGCTATTATTACTATTATATAAGCGTTAAATAACACTCAATATAACTCATAATAATAGCCCAAATAATTATTTTAAGGTCCTAATAATGTTACTATAATTAAATAAAATCTATATTAAATATAGTATAGGCGTAGCTCACTTACAGCGAGTTTTTATTAAAAACCGGGCTTCGCTGAAGCAGCGTTTCCAAGCCGAAAGCTTTTCTTCTCGGAGCCGTTGGGCGCTCCGGGGCTTTCTTCTCGTGCTAGGGAGGTTCCATAGACTTGGGAGGGGTTTAGGGAGGCTAGAGAGAAGTTAGAGAGAGAAAGAGAGGCTTATGGTGTGAAGAAAATATGAGGAGTTCACCCTTATATTTATAGGAAGTGTATAGTAAAGTAGTCACCAAGCTTCGTCCGTAACTTTTGCATACGAGCTCCGTTTTTGTCTGTCTTTTTACCGTTGAGTTCCTATTAATGAGATCTTCAACTTTCATTTAGATCTCGTTGGCTAATTCTCATTCTATCTCGGATTTACAAAACTGTATCGAATTCGCCGCGCTCGAAAAGTAGGGACTAAGCTTCGTCCATAACTTTCGCATACGAGATCTATTATCGTTGTTCTTTATATCCACGTGTTGGTATTTACGAGTACTACAACTTTTATTTAGATCCCGTCGGCTAAAAATCGACCGATCTAAAATTTAGATTTCGGGCTATGCACTACGATGCTAAATCTTAGAAAAATCATAATTTCCTCATACGAAGTCAGATTTGGGCGTTCTTTTTATCGACGTTCTTAGTTTAACATATTCTACGACTTTCGTTTAGATCGCTAAGGCTAAATCTCGCTCTATCGTAAATTCACTATTTACGCTTCCCGGTATCGTGCCGGTTCCGTCGCGAAACTTCAACGAGTCATAACTTCTTCGTTATAACTCGGATTTCGGCGTTCTTTATATGTACGAAAACCTTGTAACATACTCTACAAATTGGTTAAGATTATTTATTCTAAATATTCTTTTGTCGAAAAGTCGTTTTCGAGCCCTATTGCCTCTATTTTGACTAGCCCGGATTTGCGGGCATTACAAATGGGCGATTTTAGATGTTGATGTTGATGGGATTGTTGATGATAAGTTTGATCTGAAGCATGGTCATGTTCTTCACTTCCCCCTCTTGAGGAAGGAACCCCTTACGCATACATTGCTTATGACCATCGATTTTGTCATTGCTTAAGACCATCGATTTTGTCGCAGACATTGTTAAACTAAGCTTTTAGGACGTCCACAAGCTGTTGATTGTTGGGAATTGCAGTGTTGAAGAGTAATTTGTGGATGTCCTTCGTGAGTTTGAGAATTTCTTGACCGTGGAAGTTAGAGGATAATGATCTACGGAGGTTGTTGATGGTTGACTGTAGGACCGAAATAGCAGATTCAGACGCATGGTGCATTTCTTCAACAAATTTTCGGAACTAAGCAGACTTATCCGAAATGATGGATTGAAGATCAAATTTGATGGAGGATAGTTCAGAGATAAGTTTTTCGTTGGTGGTGATGAAATGTTGATGATCAGCCTTGTGGGTGTTATCCAGGGCTCGGATACATATTTCCACATTAAGAGCGATGTGGTCGGTAGCAAGACGTTCTCTGGCTTCATGTCTTGCGATGCGGTCGATGAGAGACTGCAGACCAGGTAAGTCCTTATATTGCGGTTGGGAAGATTTGACAGCAACTAGGATCTGATCCACTTTGTCTTGCAAAGATAATAATTCTTTTCTCGAAACAACTAACTTCTTTTTCTTCTTCTTCTCCTTGGGCTTAGAAGTTGAGTGTTGGGATCCGCTTGATTCATCCTCTTCAAAAATCATCAGTGAACGTATCTCCTACATGGCACGCTTTTCCATCCTTGTGCATAGTAGGGAACGTATGCACGATTAGGACAATTTCTGCCAATGTGTCCAGGTGTTGCACAGTGAAAACAAGCCTTTTTCTTCACTCTGAAGTTATTTATTCCTGCCCCTGGTGGCGTATCCTTGCCTTATCTCTTGTTGTTCCCATATGCACAGTTGCAACAGGCACTCTGTTTAGCTTGAAATGGTGGCCTGTATTTACCAACGACAGGTTGATTAGAAGCAACAGATTCAGAGTTCAAGGGGTCGTTTGTCTGTTCAGAAGAACTCTCCTTGTTCTCATCCTCTGTTACTTTGCCTGCACAAGAAGTAGCAACATTAGTATCTTCAATATTAGTAACTCCTCCTAACACAAATCCAGTTCATTTTCCATATCGAAGATGTGGCTCCCTGCCAGTTTCGTCCTGTATCATAGGGATGGATGTGTAGTTATGATTATAAGGAGGAGGTACACTATCATACCCTAGACCCTTGTTTTGATTTTCTTTGAATTTTAATTGGGTTTCATATAAGGACTCGACTATCTGACTTGGCGCAGTATAATTTTTGAAACTGACATCAGTTTTTCCACACTTAATTTTTAAAGCATCAAGTTCTTCAGTTACAGCAACAAGTTGTCTCTTAACATAATCATAATTTTCACACTTGTTGCTATACTCTTCCTGAAGTTTCCTAAAGTCCTTGGTTTTTGCTTCTAATTCAGCCTTCAAGGGTTTCTGTCCTTTCCTGATTTGATATCCTTCATATCTCAGGTCCTCAACTTCTCTTTTTAATAAATCAGTTTGTTCCCGAAGAAATTTAATCGTAGCTTCACAAGCTAGAGTACATGTAACTTCAGTGACCAGAATGTTTTCAGAACTCATTGTTTCTCTACACTTCAAAGCATCAAGTTCTTGAATTACATCAGCAAGACTAAGATGATTGAGATCTTTTGTCTTCTTGATGATAGCCACGTTCATATCCCACGATTTCGGAAGTGAATTCAGTAGCCTTTTGTTTATCTCAGATTTAGACAAGAAGATCCCAGCTATATTCATCTCGGTGATAAGTGTAGTAAATCGCTGCAACTGAGTTTCGAGGGTTTCTCCAGGGATATAATCGAAAATGTTGAAATTTTGTCTTAACATATCCTGACGACTCTCTTTCATGTTTCAACTCCTTCATAGACCTTAAAATCAATTAAAAAAAAACACAACTAGAAGCTAAGATAAAACTTAAACGTTAAAAAATGCATTTTTTTTCTCAAAAGTCAACCTTAAAAGTCAAATTTAAAAAATCAAACTTGAAAAAGTCAAACCGAAAAGCTAAGTTTGAAAATTTAAAAGTCAAATGAGAAAGTCAAAGTTTAAAATCAAAGGTCAAACGTTAAAAAGTAAAAGTTAAAAATTAAAATATAATTTTATTTATTAATTTTAATTAAAAAAAATTATTTATCTATTATCATCATCATCATCATCATTATTATTATTATTATTCTTATATATATTATGGATATTGTATCTTATGAATAGTAAAATATCACAATTTTTGTCTATTGCCGTCCCTATACTTCCGTTTCTTGTATTGGTTCTTTGTCATTTCCTTATGTTTTGGTTTGTTTCTCATTTTATTGCTTCTTTGTCGTATATGCGCTTCTCCTGTTCATTTCTTTTTTGGTTTCTAGATATTTCTTTATTTTCCGTATCTGCATCCCTTTCTTTTATCCGTATGTGAATCCTTTTCTTTTATCCTTCACTTTCATTCTTCTGCCTCCTTCCTGCTCTCTCTTTGAGGTAATATTCTTCTGTTTTTTTTGTTTGCTTCTTTTGCTGTGATTTTTCGTTCCGGCTGTTGTTGCTGTGTTGTGTGTTTATTTTGTCATGGCTGTTCCATCAAAACGGAGAGCTGATGACGGTGGTTCGTCGTCTGTTCCTCCCTCTGTCGACTGTCGGCACAGGTCTCGACGTTTACAACCATTATCTCTTCTTCCCGACTACATGGATTGTGGTGACTGTACGTGTGTTTGTGCCTACTGCGGTGCATTGTTCTGGTACATTGAGAGAATCGTTAATACATCTACAGCTGATCCTCCTAGATATAATCATTGTTGTAGAGGTGGAGATGTTGTACTTCCTTATCCTTCCATGTTTCCCACCGACTTTGTTGCTCTGTATCAAAATTCAGGTTTTTTAAGGGATATTAGGGCTTATAACAACATGTTTTCTATGACTTCTTTTGGGGCAAACGTAGATGAGGATGTGAATGATAACCGTGTTCCTTATGTTTTTAAGATATCTGGTCAGATTAGCCACAAGATTGGGTCCCTCTGTCTGGATCCTATAAAGGGTCCGAGGTTTCTGCAACTATACCTCTTTGATACTGGGAACGAAGTAGAGAACAGATTGAGGCCTTTTGATCATCCTTCAAAGAGCGATTTAGATTTTAACATTGTCAGCTATCTGGTCAACTTTTTGGGGGCTAATAACGAATATGTGCGCACCTTCAAGACTGCAAAACAAATAGCATAAGAAAGTAATTTACAGTCATATGCGGTGCGACTCTTTAACAATGTTGCGGATCGTAGGTATGATTTGCCTTCGTCTGGGTCTTTGGGTTGTATAGTAACTGGTGATGACACAATCTCTACAACATATGACATCATTATCCATTCCCAATCGGGTCGGCCTCAACGTATCAGTAAGCTGCATCCAAGCTATATGCCATTACAATACCCGCTTTTGTTTCCATATGGTGAAGAAGGTTGGTCACCCCGTTTGAAAATTGGAAATAGGATTGGTGCAACAGCTTGAAATCTTACCGTTAATATGTATTATGCCTATCAAATTCATGCCCGTCAGCATATCTGGTCTCATATTGTAAACTCATCTCGGCTCTTTCAGCAATATTTGGTTGATGCATACACATGTATAGAAGAATGTCGTCTTGATTACATTGTAAAACATCAATCTAATCTTCGGTCTGATTATGTTATCGGCCTGTATGATGCGCTTTCGAAGGGAGATAGGGAGGCAAGTGTTGTTGGCAAACGTGTATTCTTAACAGCATCATTTACCGGTGGTCCCCGATTCATGTATAGTCATTATCAAGACACACTTTCTATATGTAGGGTGTATGGCAATCCACAATACTTTATTACTTTTACATGTAATGTGAAATGGCCAGAAATAACTCGGTACATGGATACACATATGCAAGGAGATGTTCACAGCAGAGTTGATATCATTGCTAGAGTGTTCAACATCAAGGTTCATGAGTTTGTTCGGTTTCTAAAACAGGACAAAACCTTTGGCGAGGTTGAAGCATGTATGTTTTCGATTTCATATTCCTTTCATGTACGGGTTATTTATCATACAGATAATATTTTCCAAATCCGCCTCTTTATAGATATGTTACCATTTGTCTTTCAATTTTTGTAATGAACGGTTACCATATTTTTTAATATTTGTTTTTACCTATGTTTATTAATGTTTTTTGGTTATCGTTTCGTACAGCTTCAAGTTCCATGTTATTATCATTTGATAAAAATGTTTACTTTACGCTATCATATGGTTTCATTCTTATCCATGAAGATTTCACTTAACACACATGTTTCCCAATGTACTCGATCAGTTGATGCTTTCAAGCACACCTATCTACTCATATATAGTAATTTACATTTTTACTTTTTTTTAATGCTTTTATGAGTCATTACATTTTTTTATGCTTTTAGCTCTCACATTTGTTACATACTATAAGAGCTATACATTACATTCCATATCTGGATCGAAATGGTATATTAGATTCAAAACATTCCTTTTTATTCGTAGATAATAGTATTTGGTTTTTATTTATTTATTTAGTTTTTTATTTCTGTTTTTTTTTTCAGTCTGTCACGGTTTTGTACCTCTCACCTTTTTATGGATTTCTACCTTTTTAATATGATGTGATTTTTATCATGATATCATTATGATGTCATATTATAACACTGTTGCATTGATTACATAATGCATAGCTTATTTGATTCATGTAGAATATATATCTTTGTAGATATCAATCATAATAATCATCATTTCCAAATCTACCCCTTTGTAGATATGTTGCCATCTGTATTTCCAACTTTATAACAAATGGTTAGCATATTTTTTGATATTTATTTTTGCATATGTTTGTTAATATAGTTATTTACATCTTTTACCCTTTGTTTTCAACAATGTTTTTTAGTGGGTTTTTTTGTTATAATTTGGTAGAAGTTGAATTTTTATGTTATCTCCCTGTTCATCTGCTTTCTATATGTAGGGTCCATGGCTATCCACAATGGTATATCGATTTTACATGTCATGTGAAGTCGGCAGAAATAACAGAGTACATGGATATACATATGCAAAGAGATTTCTAAAACACAACAAAACATTTGGTGAGGCTGAACGATATATGTTTTGCATTTTCTCTTCGTTTGAGATATATTTTAAATATAATGTTATTCTTACCATGAAATTATTAAGACGTGATGTCATTTTGGTATTCCAATTTTGTTTTTTACATTTTTAACCCTTTGTTTTGAACATTCTTTTTTATTGTTTTTTTTTGTTATAATTTGGTAGAAATTGAATTCTTCTGTCATTTCCCTATTCATTTGCTTTCTATATGTAGATTTTATGTCAAACCACAATGGTTTATCGTTTTACATGTAATGTGAAGTGGACAGAAATAAGAGAGTACGTGAATACACATATGCAAACACATGTCCGCAGTAGAACACATATGACTGCTTTAGTCGTCAACATCAAAGTTCATGAGTTTGTTCGGTTTCTAAAACAGAACAAAACAGTTGGTGAGGCTGAAGCATATATGTTTTGCATTTTGTCTTCGTTTGAGATATATTTTAAATATAATGTTATTGTTACCATGAAATCGTTACCATGAAATCATTAAGACGTGATGTGATTTCAGTATTCCAATGCTTAAATGATTCATATTTTATTTGATTCATATTCGGCTATATGTCTTTGCAAACATAAGTTGTATTAAAGATCATTTCCAAAGGTACCCCTTTGTACATATGTTACCGTTTGTCTTTGAATTTCACTAACAAATGATTAACATACTTTTTAGTGTTTGCTTTAGGTATGTTTTATAATAATTTTTTTGCTATGATTTGTTACATATTGAATCCTCCTGTTATTTGGCTGCAATAAAAGTTTTTAGTTCATTCTTGAAGATTTTATTTTACATTACATTACATATCTTCCTACACATGGTATATTACATTCAAAGTATATAAATTATGCGATTGACAGTTTACTTTTTTTTTTCTCTTTTTTTGTTTACTTCATTTTTTTTAGTTCTAACTGTAATTTTTTCCCCATATTATAACAGCCATACATTACATTCCATATCTTCCTACACATTCTACATGATAATTTTCAGTTTTTATTGGTTTCTTTTTTCCTTTTTTTTCACTCTGTTTCTGACTTTTTGTATCTGTTACTTTTTTAACACACTCTATTACATTCCATATTATATAATATTTGGTTCACTTATTTGGCAAAAGTATATTTGATTGAATTTTCAAAATTTGTTAATATATTGGTATCTTTTTTATGCTAATTTTGTATCTCCCTTTTATTTTTAGCATGAAATCATTAAGATGTCATGTTATAATAGTATGGGACTGTTCACAGTATCCATATTTTATTTGATTCATATAGCTTTCTATATCTACTACCATTTGTCTTTCGATTTTGGTAACAAATTGTTAACATATTTACTACAGTTTGTTTTTAAGTGTGTTTCTTAATGTTTTTTTAGTTATAATTTGGTAGACATAAAATCTTGGTGTTCTTTGCCATTCACGAGAGCTTTTACTTTATGCTCACATACGCTTCTCTCCATACTATAACAGGTCTACATTAGATTCCATATCAATCTGAAAGATGTACGTTTTTTAATATATTTTTTTTATTATTATTAGTTTTTTTATCTATATTCCATTAAATATTATATCTTTTCAGTTTCGTATCTGTTTAGATATTAACTTCAATGTATGCTTACACACTTATTTAGAAATAGAAAAATATTAAATCTTAATATTTTGAAATTTCTTCATAATTACAGATTTGTACACTATCGAATTCCAGAAGAGAGGTCTTCCGCATTGTCATACTTTACTTTGGGTAAACAGTTCAGACAAAATAAAAAATCCAATTGATAGTGACAAATATATTACAGCGGAGTTGTCGGATCCAATTAACGAGGTAGAATTGTACGAGACGATAACAAGTTGCATGATTCATGGCCCGTGTGGACCGCTTAATGAAAAGGCTCCATGTATGAGGAATGGTAAATGTACTAAACATTTCCCTCGACCCTTTGTTGATAGTACATTCTTTGACAGAGAGGGATATGTACGGTACAACCGTAGCGTAGATGCACATCATACTACCCGATATGGACAGGTTGTAGACAATGGATATGTGGTGCCCTACAATAAAAGGCTTTGTTCCCGTTTCCGTGCACACATCAATGTTGAATACTATGGCTGGAATATGATGATTAAGTACATGTTCAAATATATTTCCAAAGGAACTGATCGCATAAGATACACACTCCAAAAGGCATAATCAACCAATCAGTCATCTGCAGCGCTGCCCACTACTAGCCATAACAGATCCGAAAATGAAGATATATGTGCTGTAAACGAGGTACATAACTTTTTGGATGGGCGCTACACATGCCCACAAGAAGCAGCATGGCGAATTTTAGACTTCCGTATACATCAACGTCATCCAGCTGTACAGATTCTAACTGTACATGAGGAAAACATGCAACAATTGTTGTTCAATGGAGAAAACACAATACCTGAAATACTATCAAATCCGAACAGTAATATTACCACCCTACTTGCGTGGTTTGAAAGTAACGCAAGAGATGCAACAGGTCGTGATTTGACATACCTGGATTATCCAAAATCTTACAAATGGGAAAAGTCATCTAAGTCATGGAGCCGAAGAATTTATGACTCGTCAAAAACAGTAGGTCGGATTGTATTCGTACATCCTACATCCGGCGAATTATTTTACTTACGGATGCTACTCTGCCACCAAAAGGGATGTACATCATTTCAAGATTTGCGCACCGTACGAGGTACCGTTTACCCAAACTTTCGGGCTGCTTGCAATGCACTTGGATTGATAGGGGATGACATTGAATGGCTTACCTGTTTCACAGAAGCTTCCATCTGGGCAACTGCATCACAGTTACGATCCCTTTTCTGCCACCTATTGCTTTCTGTGAGGTCAGCAATCCACGTTTACTATGGGACAGTGCATGTGATAAGATGAAAGATGACTATCTACATACCTTGAAACTCCAAATACCAGATAAGAATGTTGGTTCAACTGCTGACATAATTGAACAACAGTTGCTTCATGATTTAGATAATATGCTCCGTTCTGCTGTTCCATCCAAATCAATGGGAGATTTTGGCCTTCCCGTTCCTTCAGCTGATGTCATTGGTATTTTACAAAATCGTCTTCTACTCGAAGAATTGAGGTACGATAGGGAAGGGCTGATGAAAGAGCACAATGAGCTGGTGCCAAAATTAAACAGTGACCAAAGATCAGTCTATAATACAGTCGTCAGTTCCATAGAAAACAAAAAACAAATACTGATGTTTGTTTATGGACATGGGGGTACCGGCAAGACATTCCTATGGACAACCATTCTTTCCTATTTTAGATCCATAGGAAAGATTGTATTGGCTGTTGCTGCTTCTGGAATTGCGTCACTTTTGCTACCTTCTGGAACAACA